CCAGGCGGACTGTAAAAATTCCAATTTCCGGCCCCCCGGTAGTTCTATGCAATTTTCATTGATTCTAATTAGAATGGGCATCTTAGCCAAAAAATCCGTACCCAACAGGCAAGGAACCGCCAGGGACCTCGAAATCAACACAACGCCCGAGGCCGAGACACCCCCGATAGAAATGTTAGCGTCCACCTGTCTCACGATGCCCATACTACCCCCGTTCGCAGCGATGCAGGAAGCGTAAGCCGGCCTCACGGCCCCCGGTGGGATGTTCAAAAGATGGAATATCACATCCGAAATAATGGTCGCGGACGCACCGGAATCCACCAAAATACGTACGTCCACCCCTTGGATGGACCCAGGTACAGTGGACGAACCGGTAGCGGCCGCGACAACCCGCCGAGCCAGCTTACGCCACTGCGTTATCGAGCGACAAGGCTCAGATACTGGCCTCCCGGATTTTACAACATCCGCGTCGCATAACAACGGCGATGAGTGAGGTGTCAGGCCTTGCCGGGTGTCTGGTGCGCACCGACTTGCCTGTGCCGGAGGGTCTTTCTTTGGGGCGTCCGCTGTCGAGGCCTCCTGCTGGGGCGGCCCCGGAACCCGGGCCCAGCAGTCCCTGGCATAGTGGCCCCGACGGCCGCAGCGGAAGCAGTCGACGTCGGGGCGGCGCGCAGCGGGCACCCCGTCCCGACGCGGCCGCGCCGGCGGCGGAGCCCGCGGCCCTGGCCCGCTTCGAGCCGGCCACGGAGTGGAGGCGGCCGACAACTCCTTTGGGCCGGTCGCATCCGGCACGTACACGGCCTTTGTAGGGTCCCACCCTACGGCCCCCCCATCGACGACAGGACCGCCCGTCCACGCCGTGACTTGTTTCCAGCGGCGGAGATTGAACTGGGCGTCCAAACACTTGGCCGCGGCCCGGGACGTGAGTTTTTCGTGACCGCACGCCGGCATAGGAATGCCCAGATCCCGGGATAACTCCAACATCTTCCCCAAGATGAGAGGTTCCAGCAGGTCAGGCTCCGTCTCCGGGTAAGCGGCCATAGCGAGTTCCAACACGGCGCCCCTGTACGCTACAAGCGACTCCTCCGGTGCGCGTTGCCGCTGCACGAAGCGGCGATGGGCGTCATCCGGTGGCTCGTACGCGTCCGCCATTTCATCGAACACCCCACGCAGAGTTTTCTTCTTCGCAGCTTTTATAGAGCGAAAAAAACGAACGGACTCATCATCAAGAAGAGTCGGAAGCACCTCCAGTGCCTCAGCGTCCGTCCACCTTGCCGTACGTACCGCCGCCAAAAATCTACAGGCGAACGCACTCCAATCGCCCCCGATGGAGAACTCTTTGACGGTTGTAAGGTGACGACTGCGGCCCCTTGGCCTGCTTCCGTCCGTCGCTGACTCTTCCGGCGGTAAGTTCAGCAAGGCGTCGCAACGCGGTGTCGCCAAGATGGCGGACGATCCTCGCGGCGGCCCCAAAATGGCGGCTTCCCGCCTTCCGTGGTGCGCCACGCCCAAGATGGCGTCTTCACGCCGCGTGGCCGATGGCGGCGCCATCGAAGACAATCCGGGCTCCTGCCGATCACCACCGTCCCCCTCCAACGCCGCCCTTGGCGTGACAAGGTCACACAACTCAGTGATGACGGTTTTAAGAGTCGCCAGCTGCTCCGCCATTCGGGTCCATCTTAAATCTTCGTCCTTCAACGCAGACGGGGCGGACGCAGCGGCAACCTCCTCGACACCCGGGCCCTCACGGATCTCTCCCTCCGCCGAAGTGAAGCCGACCTCAGGAGGAAGATCGTCGTCGTCCGATGATGAAGCCGACGCCGGAGATGGGATATTCTTTTTCCTCAGTTGTTTCGCCATGCCGTTTCACTTCTGACTCCAGTGTAATAAATGGACTCGGACACTTCCTTCTGTCTTCGTGTCTTTTATTGGGTTCTCGTCTTCACCCACACGGCACTCTGTTATAACTCTGTATTTGTAGCCCCCGGCTATTCACTGCTATTATAGCTTCTTCTTCCCTCTGACTCTCTGCTTCATCTACTGTAACCTCCTCCCTGCAGACTCGCTGCTACCTCTATGCAGACTCCCGCTGCTACCCCTATGTGCAGACCCTCTGGCTGCTACCGTATGCAGACCCGCTGCTGACTCTGTATGCAGCCCCGCTGCTGACTCTCTGTGCAGCCCCGCTGCTGACTGCAGCCTCCTCGCTGCTTCGGGTCGGTCACCGCTGGCCAACGGTGCCGATCCTCGCTCCCCCGTGTTCGTGGCGATCTCGCCACCCTCCGCTTCGCCCTTCGTGGCCTCTCTCTGTTCCTGGTTCCCCGTCACTCCCCGTCCTCTTCCGGTTCCCCTCCTTCTATAGCCTAACCCCTCACCCCCCCACGTGACCTAACTCCTCCCCTCCTGACGTCACCTCCGGAGGGCCGTTTACGCCCGCATTACAATTGTAACAAGCGTTTATACCAAAGTTACTCTATAGAGTAGTGGATCGCCGCTCCTCTTATCTGCATTGATACGAGCGGTATGTCGGGACTATGGCTTAACCGCAAAAGAAAACCTATCTGCACCGATGCATACGGACAAGAGAAGTATTATCAAACAAGAGGAATTAACGGTGCAACGCATCTCATCTGTTAAATATCTGCAGGAAATAGGATTGTCATCGATTGATCCTGGCTGCAGACATTGGTAGGTCACAAATAATAATGAAGATAAGAGAGCAGTTTCACTGTGTTATGAATACCGTTATGACAAATGACTTAAATCGTATCGGCAACTTGAAAAGCTTTGGATAAGACTCATGATCCTGCCCATACCCGAGCATGGGAGTGCATTCGCTTGTTCAGCTCTTCTGCGCATTCGTGATAAGAGAATGATCCGCGCCAGGTGGGTCACGGCGTTTTTGTGCGCGATGGGACGGAGTCGCCAAAAATAATAAAATAATTACGATTTTGACTTCCGTTTATTCGGACCCCGGGGTCCCGCTATGAGGTTCATTTGTAATGTCCAAGATGAAGGAGCGCAGGTTACTATGTCAGGCACTAGAATGGAACCATTACGGTTGATGACCACAGGGAAGATGTAAAGTGTTGAAGGTGATATTGGGATACGACAAGAGCAGACCTGAGAGTCAGCCTGTATTGACTGCGTGGCAGCTGTGGAATACAGCAGAAGAGGCATTTGAAGCATCAATGGCAGTGGCTGTGATGTATATTTTTCATAAACTGGCCAGTGATTGAGGTGATTTTGGGACATCTCTGATTAAATTGAAGATTTTTTTCCAGGCATCATTCTGCCCATATTTGGCAGAATGATAGCTGATTTTGCAGAACATGGGTCAATTCCACGTGTTGCAATTCAAACCGGGGCCTCTGTATCACTTATGAATGTGAATTTCACTGTGCCTCAGTCCAAACCCCCCCCAAACCCCACACACACTATATCAGTCGAGAGTATTTTTTTTACTACAATTCACCACGGCGGTCAGTGTGGATTGATGAATGGAGGGTTGAGGACTCGTTCTGATATTATTTGCCCCTGGTATGAGGCCGGACCAGGAATTTATCTCAGCTCGTCTGAGCCATAACACTGTGCACAACTACACCACCATTACAAAATATGCGACAAGCACATTTGTTTACAATGAAGCCAGACCGACACCTACGTTGTGCATCTTAGTTGCATGCAACTGAATCGCGCACATGTGGACGTCTCTGCAACCGGTTGTGACCAGCTACACAACCTGTTGCTTAACAGATTTCTTACAGTAGAAACAGACACTATTTTCAAGTATCGATATACTCAGCGATTTGCAGTGACATGTTTCATCACGCGATTGAATTGTTTGAGCCATGATTGGTTGCTACAATCCTGCATGCACTCTTCAATGTCCTTGTTTGCGCAACTACTTGCTCGGATGTGGGCAGAGCTGTTGCAGGGGATGATTAAGTTGCGCGGTCTCGAGAGCGATCCAGTTGCACAACTGGTGGCTCAGGTGTGGACCCGGCTCCGATCTTCTGCTGGGCAGTGATTGTTAACACCAGCATGGCAGGGCTTACAGTGTCCATAGAGGGCTCTATTTAATTCGCACGACTACTGACGGAGACCCAGAAATCCCAAACTAGTCCACATTTCGCCTTCATAAAAAAAAATGTTGCTGGAAATATTGGACAAGAAGACCCATACGATTGGAGAACAAATACGGTAGATATATTTAATTACGTGGTGGGATATTTTTTTTTACAATATTTAAATCCATTACCTATATTCAACCATAACAGCACATTGTTTTTTGCGCATCATAGTCAATTAGGGGTGTTTTATCCACGCAGCATTGCAACATCTGCCAACCCTGTCTGCGAATATGAATTAAACCCATTAAGTTACTATGTATATTTGAAACATGTCAAGTACTTTCTGAGAAGGTAATATGACAATGACTGCAATAATAATTTTTTAAACCGTTGCACATATATACGCAATGCCACAGCAAATGTGTATTGGCAATAATATTTTTCTGCAAAAGTTACGATCGTACAGGCCATGATGATTGCTATCGATGGTACTGTAACCTACAACAAACAGTTTCTAAACCTATAAATGCTGCCATGTAATGAATGTAAAAAAAATACATTGCTGAGGGAATGCGTAGACCAATAGTAGTTTTACAGCCCCATTCCATTATTTCTTTAGGTCATTATTACATTGGATTGTAGAACCTTGACTAAGCCGGCCATTAAAGGAAGTAATTCATGGCTTGATGGTCTGAACATTCACATAAAACTGCGACTTCACAGCTCACAGGATCATCTATCATTAAGCAATAAAAACGATACGCTTCTAACAATCACCCTGCACACATCTGCTTTTTCATGACAGCTGCCTGCAACAGGGAGCCGGGTTGACTATTCATCATCATTGCCCCCTGCCAAATGACATCGCTTATTCCACAGACACTCACATTAGGGACATCTACATCAAGGTTACCATTACTCCCGCCAACAACAAAATCACACCATTACCTTAGCTGTCAAATGCGCTCTCTTTGGTACTTCCTTTCCAGCAATAAATGTTTATATATTGGTGTTTCTTCAATGGGTAGGACATGAAGGAATGTGTCTTGTGTAAATCAAGTGTAAAAGGTAGAGGTGCAGCCTGAAATTTAATTCTCGGAATCAGTCTTTATTTATCCGAGAGAAATCCGATGAGCTGTGAAGCTCTTTTTCACAGATGCCCAGTAGGGGCGGGTCAGTACGTTACGACAACAAACACTTCTCACCCTTCTTATGGTGGTAGGGCCTCCACTTTGAGGGAGCTCTGGAGAGCCCTTCTAGAGGTTATTAGGCCTACTCTTTCATACTGCCCAAACATCTGAGAAGATGTGAAACAAATCAAGCATACCGCTATCTAATTACAGTCTGGAGTCATTATCCTTAACATTCTCTGAACTGTAAAATCTTTACGAGCCATAATACAATCTCACTGATCCTATACAATGTTTTTCCTCGCAAACAAGTCCAAGAGTATTCACGCTGCAATGAGCATTGGGCAGTGGTTGTCTCTTGGTTGACTTAGGCCGGTCGTGGAAACTCCAAACCAGGTAACTCTTGCAAATGAGTCCACCGCGGCCTCACCTGTTGAAACACACACACGCGCGTGCGCACGCCTCAACACCAGTCTCTCCACAAAACAAACAACTGTTGTCTCTCTATTAGACATTAAAGAGAATTTAGAAAAATTTGCAAAAGTCGGGCCCTGTGTGTGTTGGTAGCCACAGCCCAAAGGCCTCATATAAAATGCTCCATTATCAAAAGAGCTTCCAATGAAGTGGGATCCATGCTAATGACTCGAAAGGGCGAGGGAATGAGTCAACTTTCCGAACCAACGCTTGAGCTGCTCTCAATTGCGCGACGAACGAATCAGCTCGTCACGTCAACCTTAAGCTGGCAGCCATGCAAGGGCTACAGCATGAATAATGTCAAATGTATTCCCTGTGCTATTAGCGTTTATGGCATCCCTTGGTAATCTTTGTGCGGGTAGAGCGACGTGAAGTGCGGTGTCATTAGGAGGACAAAAGTGATTGCCTGCAACCCTCTCTTCATTTCAGTTCTTCCCAGCTCAGCCCTTCATTCTGATCTCAAACCACCCTTGACCACCCACACATTCTTTTTCACTCGTTTACAGTATGAGCCCTACCTAGCAGCTCGTACAATTCCACTTAATCACGTGTCATTTTGCCAGCACTTTTCACAGGCTCTGCTACATAATGGAGTTCGTGGGATCACACGAGTGATTGCACATTACAGACGAAGTGTCTTTAAATGTGGCATTGCCCGAATGGCTACGTGCTCCTGAACCATCATTTTCGTGGCATCAAACATGAACTATGATCGATCCACTGCTGGACGAAGGCCTCCCCAAGCCACCGTTCCCCTCTCATGGTCCTTCTATGTAACAACTTGCTGAGCACCTGCACACAAGCTGATGTAATTGGTCCATCATCCTCTGTAGAGGAAGCTTTTCATCCCTTGGCTGCCTTTCCATGATTATTATTGACCCATTGTCCATTTGGTTTTTTTTTCCTGCTAAAATCCACTTACGTCTCTTAATAGTTTGAATTGTGTCATTAACCTGCCAATGTTCCCTACTACCATGCGTTTCTCTTTCTGTCTCTCATTTTTATCCCAAGCACGCGCACCTCTCCTCTATAAGGTCTACGAAATGCAATTAATGTTTTGTACAGCACCATAAAGAGTGGTGCAGAGGAACATTGCTGCGTATACGAGCACCGTCTTTAACTATTATTAACAAATACTGCCTTGTAATTCAAATGTATGTAATAAGTCAATAACACCGTGCTATTTGAACTGGCAACCTTCTGATGACGAGCTGAGCGTATAACCAATACGCCACCCCACGGCATTGATTGTGTAAAGTTCACTGATATGGACAGACGCATGTTATTCGGACGATCTAAGGAAACCAATTCCAAAGTTATTTTTCCATAATTTAATTCCAATATCAAATTACATTTGTAGTGGTATTTTGGGTGGGACACCAAGGTTAACGTCTGATTTGTTTTTCTCTCTCTTCGGGCCCCATGAGATATGTAATGTATTTATCGTAGATAAGATCACACTTTAAGGTCTTGACAAAATGCCACTGCTGGCTGCAATGCCAAGACCAATGTAGGCTTGCACCAGGACGCTACACCCAGACTTCCAGCCAAGTGAAACATAATCCCCTTCTACTGGTTAAACAATTCCGGTCGAGGGGATAACTTTGGGGAGAGCTAATGTCTCACAACCGGAAGATTACAAGTTAAAACCCTGGCATCACATTGGGGTTGATGCAGCCCATAGCGTTGATACAATCACTTGGACTGTATGTTCTTGGTTCTTTCGGTAAAGTCACGTAGAAGGGAAACAATAAAATAATAAAAATTAAACATAATATAATAAAATTTTCACGACGTTTCGGCCACAACACAAGCAGCCGTCCTCACGTAAAGAAACAGAGCTGTTGGAAAGACAGCGTCCCAATGAACGCTGCTAAGCTTGGCAGCGCATTTTTAAGCTGGTTGGGAGGGGCAGAGCGCCTTGACAAATGAGTTTACATATCAACAGAGAAATTTAGCATATTGACGCTAAAGAACTGCAATTACCACTACTAACATACAATAAACCGATGTGCAAAAATCTAAATATAAACCACATCAATTTAATCAATGTACTCAATATACTTTCCAATAAGTTGAGCTATTCACATTAAGTAACTGAGTATACACTACACTATATAATGACTACCATATAGTGAACCTATAAAAAGCTAAAATATAAACTACATCAATATAATCAACATACTCAATAAATTGTAATTATTTTATTATTTCCCTTCTACGTGACTTTACCGAAAGAACCAAGAATATGAATCCCTGCAGTTACGAACGCTTTAAATCGACACTTGGACTGTGTTGCCAAATTAACGTTGGTTGTCTTATGGCGTGAATGGCCACCGGAAGACACGGGTGTGGAATTTCAACCACTGGCTCAATGGAGTACCGACGCCTGTTTCATTGGGGAGAAGTTATTTTGTCTATCACTTGACATGAACTCTTCGAGACAGCATAGTACATTCCCAGCAGCGTCTTTGATGTTAACATATTACACGTGAAACACACTCGTACATCCACATTCGGTGACAACCTGTTGTCTATCATCTGTATAACATAAATAACTCGCTGTTTGTACGTTTTACGAATACAAATGATCACGTTATTGTCGTCAGGCTGAACGGTGCTGCCGTCGATCATTTGACTCATGAGGGAAGGACGTCAGTTCTAATGCTATCCAGGGTTTTTCTCAGCAGACCATCATCTCTCTGAGATCAATACAGTGTGGGAAGGCGACAGTGGAAGGCCGAATTATTTCAGAAAATGGGGACTATCCACCACTGCCTTAAGTGATCCCAACAGGGAAAAAGCACAGGCCAATGCTTACTTGAGCAGGGAGAGTTAATGATGACGTCACCCTGCTGCTGCTCTATATAAGAACGGGAGACACAGCAGAGCCTCACCATTCTGGCGAATTGCCCGATGATGCTGGATGCAATTACCAGCGAAACGTCGTACTCAAATTGTAAATGTTGTGGCTTCAACACACCGGTGGGCTAAAGCAGTGAACTATTTGTCTTTGTCAACGTGACACATTTTTACTGATTGGCCGTGTCGGGTGGTGGAGGGTTACGACACATTTATAAATAACGCGATCTAAACCCAAAAACGTTGATTATGAATAACATTGGTCGCGAAAGCCTACGTGTTAAAAAGGAGACACGTTGAGTTATCACATTGCGTCTCTGACACCGCCACGACTAACTTCGAGACTCACGGCAGTATTTAACGCCTCGCAACGTTCGCCCAGTACACGAGGTAATGTAACTCAGCGCAGTTCGCCAGGACTTTAATAGCATTGCCCCCTTCGAGTGTATAATGACTTTTCATTCTGTCCATTCACTGTTTAATAAATGTATCAAGGCTCATGGTCATACTTTGCGCATCATTTCTCAAAAGTGTATTACCCAAACCCATCCTTTGACTTTTCACATTTCAATGTTTGATCTCTTTTGTGGGTTTTTTTCTTCACCCCGATCTAAGCATAGCATCTGAATGTTCCAGAAAGTCTACCTTCAAACCATTTGCAGTTACCTTTTTCATGTCGGTCCATGCACCGTTAAAGCTCCATCAAAGGCAAGCTTCTTGACTGGTATTTTATCCCATTATGAATAATTTCTGAGAATTTTCCACACTTTGTTTGGCACCAAATCCTGAAGTTGTAACAATACTACGCGTGCAAGTGCTGACTGGATTGCCGCGACGCAAGATGGCGAGTGGTGGTGGTGGCTTGGGGAGGCCTTCAACCAGCAGTGGATTGACCATGGCTGATGATGACAATGACGAGCGTTGGAGCAAAATTTGGCGGGCCTGAGGCAGTGGATACGAATTCCTCATTCCTATGGCATAAGCCATTTTATTTTTTAATTAAATATTCGAGTCAGGATTGTGGTTACAAGCAGCGACTGGAGCATAACATTTGTGAATGAGTGTAATGTTGTGCAGATGGAGATGTGAGGGAAGAGAGAATAAGTGCTGGGGATTCAAAGCATATTATCTATTTTACTGGGTAAGGCCCACTGAGCTGTATAGTTATTTTTCAGAAATGACCTTGGGCACAAATGATAGCTCAACGAAGTGGCTTATCGTGTGTAAATGTATAGCAGCCAAATACTCTAAACACACGTTTCTAAATGTGGAGGGAAAACCCGGAGGACCCGGAGAAAAATCCACATGGTCACGGGGAGAACGTGCACACTCCAAATATACAGCTGGCATCAGGGTCGGGATCGAACACCACTACCTCCTGTATGCCAGGCGAGGTAGTGAACATCTCGCCACCGTGGCGAGGTTTCCTCCAAGATTTCGCACGCCCTGCCACTTGTGTCAGAATTTAGGAGGTGCGCGCTCAAACTGGAGCCTTTCGTGACAGGAGCACTTGCTTGGCAATGAGGATAACTTTTGTTTTGGAAACATTTAGTGAGAGCAAGTTCGAACCAATTCAATAGATCAAATCATAGAACAGGATGCAAGATACCATAGGGTTAGAAGTGAAATTTACCTAAACCACGTATAGATAAATGCATAAGATAGTTCCGGTATTTGTAAAGGGACTTTAAACCCAACATGAAAGCCCCTTTTAAAAAATAAATCCCAAATCTCAATGCACTTTCTGTCATTAAAAAGGAAAAACACAATGAGAAAATTATAAATGTGTGACTGTGTAATAGGATTGAACATAAATAATGGACAAAAAAAATACTTTGTTTTATTTTTCCAATCGTTTTACACTTAAGGCGAAATCTACACCTAACATTTTAAACTCCTGCTTTGTTGAGTTATTAGTATAATTAAAAAACACTCCCCCTTTGCCCATCCAATGATGTTCGAAGGCCAATCCACACCGAATCAATTATGGGGCTTGTTTTGACTATACTTCACCATGCTGGTCAGTGTGGGTTGGTGAAGGGCAGGGGGAGTACAAGACTGGTTCGCATATCACCAGCCACTGATGTTAGCCGT